CTGTTGTTGGGAAAGAAAAGTTTGGTGGAGGAGAAGGAGTTACAAAAGGTATGTCTTAGAACAATTTTCTTACTCATGTCTTTGGCCTTTTTTTTAAAAAAAAAAAATGTAACTGTTTTGGGAGCTTTTCCCTTTGTTCTGCTACTTCTCATGGTTGTTGGGTTCTTTGCTTTCCCCTGTTTTATTCTGCTTTCAAGTACCCCTTCTCTGGCTGCTATGGAGTAAGGTAACGTAGTGGAAGCGGGAGAGGAGAAAGTGGGCTTGGCTGTAGATTGACAGCAATAGTTGGAGAAGGCTTTCTTTTTCTTTCTCCTTGAAGTAAGTGTTGGAACCTTTTCAGTCTACTCTGGCTGGTAGAATTTGGTTTGGAAGTGAACAGGATGAAACTTGGACTTTTGACCTTAAAACTGTACTTACTCTATGTAGAAAAATGCATTCTTCCTGCTCCTTCCCCTTGCTAGTCCCCCAAACATACACACAGTGACATGTCCAGAGTTACCCGCGTATCGACCACATGCGCGTGTTGAGCTTGGTCCAGTAATGCTAATGTTTTACCTGCTTTCTGTCATTGTCAGTCGGTGCCCATAGAGGTGAACTCTGGATAGGTAATGTTCCCAGATATGCTCTGGAAAATTTTAACTTTGGTGCAGATTGCTCTGGTGTAGCTAACTGCGATGGCGTTGGCTTCTACCTTGGAGTGGACTGATTTACCCTGAAATGACTCGCTAGCCTGCATCTTAAACAGTGTAGTTGGTTCCGGTGCAAATAGATTCATTCTGAAGTGATGGACAGTTCAATTCTCATGCAAAATAGCTACATCCTACCAGAAGGGGTTGAACCAGTTTCTCTGAACAGTGATGACCATCACTGTACAGTTTTGGGTATGTCTCAGGGATTCCTTGTGGAAATAAGGGCAGTTAACAAAAAATAAAAAAGTAAATAGTTTTAAAAGTAAATAATAATTTAAGGTAGAGCGTCACCTAAGTGAGAGCGCAAGAAGGAGAAATCTTTGTTCAGTTTTATAGTCCACGGTGTCTGGCTTAGGGACTCTTTCTCTTCTCGGGGCTCTCATCTCAAGTTCAACATACAGAATCTTTTTCATCACGCTCAGCTTTAAACTTTTTATTTAAAAATACCCTTCCCCAATGAGCTTTCAGAATACTTATTGTAGATTTTAAGAGAAATGGTATATTAATTTATGCTATTAACACCACCTCATAAATTATAAGTTTTATACTAAAGCTGTATTGAGTGTAATGAATTATGTTGCATATGTGTTTTTAATAGCTATAAAATTATATAAATGCTTTTTTGGAAAAACAAACTAGTGAAGCACCTTTTTACACTGGATCTTTGCCGTGTCAAGGTGTACAGCTATTCTTTGCTACCTTGCAGATATCTATATCTATATATAGATATATATATATAAATAAAATGGTATCCTGTATCAACAAGCATAGAACTCTTTTTAATCCTTATATTACTGTTCCTATAATTCTTTTTAATTTTTATTTTGAGTGTTACATTCTGCAATAATTTATCTGTGGTTTGTACCTATGATTAGAAATTTAGTTACAGGGTAAATAGATCAAATTAAAAAATATCCAACTACTGTAGCTGGAAGTTGTGAACCAAGTTCGTAAGACCTTTTCTTTTTTAAATGTATTTATTTCCAGTTAGCTCTGTGAGTTGGAATTTGAAAAGTCGGAACATTAGGAATCTACAGTGTCTTATTCAGGAATTTTTCCCCTCCTTTCCTCACAAAGGAATTCCCACTGTGACTTATAAATAGAATTAGACTGCTTGTGTGCATGTATGTATTATATATACACACAAAAAATATGCATTGGGGGGGATGTATGTGCGATACGAGTGTGTATATTGTATGTAGGTCATAGTTTTGTAAAGAGAAAAGTAGTCGAGAGGTGATGGAATGTATTGTAGAAATGTGATTATTTAGTAGGGGGTTGTTATGTCCTCACTGTTGTATAAAGAAGTGAAACTCTCTACTACATAATCTTCTGTTATAAGGCTAACTCTGATATCATGTCAATTTTACTGTTTTTTAAATGAGTTGCTTTGAGCCCTGTTTAAAATGCCATGAAAATACCAAGCTCCCAAAGACAGCCTTTAAATAAAACAAATGGGGAAGGAGGAGAGATGGCAGAAATGAGTGGTGTTTTTCAGGAGAAATGTAAATGGGAAGGTTTGCATTTGGTGGGATGGGGAGGTGTGGGAATTGCTGTATCTTTGCAAATTAATACCTGAATCTCCAGTGCTCTGGCTTGGAAAATGTTGTCGATCAGTGTACTTGTGTTTTCAAATTAGGTTGTAAAGGGCACTGTTTATGGAGGGATCTCCATTCTGTAAAAGGATGTTGTCTTCAAAGTAGAGTCTTTTCTTTCCTGAGGGTCTTTACATATATTAATTTTGCCCCCAGATTGCTGATGTGAGGTTGCAGAACAAAATACACTTTCAATCCAGGGAGTTTCACTTGTGCTGTGAAATTCTGAATTTAAATATGGCCACTTAAATTTTTTTTTTTTTTTTTCATAATTGGAGAAGGAAGATTTCTTTATGGGAGTTCTCACTTGAAACTGTGAGAAGTCAGAAACATTCTTACAGATTGGCTTACTCTTCATACTGTTCTATTTAGGCTGGAGAAAGTAACCTAATTGTTATTTATTCATACAGTGTCACTTTTAATGATGATGATCCTGGTGACTTTAAAAATCTGTTTAGAAGAACAGAGCTTCCAGTATTGCACAGACATTTGGATTTTTTGAAGGCTTTTTTTAAGCAGTTGCAAATCAAATCTCAATTTTCAAAAATTTTTTTTATATCCCCCCTCTCTATCAGTATGTTAATACCCCCAGGCATCCCTCCCCCTCTCCCCTCAGTTCGTTTCTGGCACATATGCATATAAGTGAAAGGGCAGGGAGGTGGAAGTTGTCAGAGGCCTTTCCTTCTGCTTATTTGGTGGTAATGGGCGTTAGCAGCATAAATCTTTATGCCTTTATGGGGAAGAATAGACCCATTTTTGTGTATACCTGTACAGAGAGATATATCTGTATATGAGATGTTGGTAGCACTTTGCTGAATGTGGACTTGCCCTCATGATGTATAATAAATACATATGAATGCAATCAGTCTAAATCTGTATATACATGCATACAGATGTATAGATGGAGTATGCGTTGTATCACACACATACATTAGTTGTAAGATGAGTAAGTGTGTGAGCTAGAGAGAGAGACTATCCACGTAACGTATGTTTAGCAGGTAAGCACTTGTGCCAAACAAGGTTGTTTTTAATTCTGAGGGATTTGGATGACATCAGTGACTGATCTGAGCTTGGTCACCATTGTTTTGTGTTACCTCAGCCCTCACAGTGGAGTTTCCTTGGTACGTTTCTGCTTTTGTTTCTTCTATATTAATACTTGTTGGGGCCTCTTGCAACACCGACCTCTTCTGCTTCTCTGCTCCATTGCCTCCATTCCAGCTCCTCCTTGTCCCCACATCTCTACAGTTTCTCTTGCTAGCAGCAATCAGCTTTAATGGCCCAACCCAGCTCTGCTTATGTAGTAGGGAAATTCTCGTCGTGACTGTAGTGGCAGCTGTCTTGGGCCCTGAGCACTTGCTTGAACTTACGCAGAATTTCCCAGCTATTCAATTGTGCTTGAGTACAACTGTGATTGATTTGCAGATGAACACAAACTTTTTTAGAACCTGATGCAAAGCTTCCTAGCATATTAAAAGGTTAACCCAGCATTGTATTTTAGAGGTAAATGTTCAAAACAAGAAAAACGCACCCACTGAAAATTATCTTCAGTTTTCAGCCCCAGGGAGAAAAAAGGAATTTGGTTTGTGTTTCCCGTAATGCAAGCAGTAAGCAGAAGGTAGCCCTGTGCTCTGTTCTGAGCAGTGGGGATGTCATCAAACGTATCAAGAGAAACATAGCTCATTACATTTTACCATTAAACAGATTTTAAAACGAGCTGCAGAGTTGACCATTAACATGTTAGCACTTTGCATCTAACTGATCTTGCATATGCAAGTAAATTGTGCTTGTAAGTATTTTATTTTCTGTTTTCTGGCTAAGCGGAGCTTCTATATCCTTTTAGCAGAAAGCAGCTGTCAGAAACCTGCTCAGTCACATTTAAGCACTGGTGAAACTCCTGGCTAACTTAGGCTTCAGTTTCAATGGAGAACGCTGCTCCAGTTCTGTCATCAGGCTGTACTGCATTCCACGTTTTCGGTATGGATATGGCACGGTTTTTCCTGGCCACAATTCAGCCATGGAATTTTGTCTTCCTTGCGTTTCTATTAGAAAAAAGTAACTGGTGTACTGTTCCATCTGAGCTTTCATGCAATCATACATGATGATTTCTATAATACATATGTTCGGGCGTGTGTATGGGTATGTCTGTACTGTGTGTGTATAATACATATTTATACGCACACATATATTACGCTATTTTGATTTATGTATGTGGAGAACATACCTGTTGGTTCTCTCCTGATATATACTCATGCATACGTATATTAAATATGTATATAGAGTGTAGATGTCCTGCATATACATGTGTATATGTTATGAACCTTGGTTGGTAATTTTTTTCCCCCACTTTTTGCAAATTGCTGTCCCTTATGACATATTTTCATTGAAGCTGCATTATATAGAAGAAATGGAGAAATGTGTTATCAAAGTTTTATTTTAAAAAGGAGACTCCTAATTATCTAAAGCCATTTGTAATTGTCTTTTGAATTTTTACTAGAAGTGTTGTTATGTAAAAAAAAAAAAAAAAAAAAAAGAAAAAAAAAAAATCCCAACAAAAAACTGAAATCAAGCAGACAAGCCCATAAGAAAGGAATAGAAACACAAGTTTCTAGGTATTTATTTCTTTCAGGGGTTTCTGAGGCATACTGTAATTGCATTCTGCCCCATCCCCCCCCTTTTGTCCAATTATAATTAATGATTCTTGGTTTCTTTTACACAGCTTTTTCCCTCATTACTTTCGTAAATCATTGTTCACCTCCTACGTGCAGTAGTACTGATATCACTAAGGAGATTTCATGTCCTGCAGTCCTTTTCAGGAGAAATACCAGTGCATCACTATTGTGTTACATTTTAACATACTTTGTGGAGGATGGATGTTTTTATTGAAGATGTCTGTAACAAGTCTTTAACTTATTTAATGTGAGAAGCCTTCACTGGAATCTGTCGTTTGTTTCCAACGAGTTTCTGCAACTGTTTTTTCACCAACATATTAAGTAGTTCCCTTCTTATTTGATGCCTGAGGTTTTAGGCTTTGAATTTATTGTTGTGGGCTTGGTTTTGGGCTTTTTTCCCCCCCTCCGATTCTCCAAAATGTTTATCTGCAAGTGGAGCACAACACATGTTGGAATCTCAACCAATATCGTTTTTGCAGTTAAGGGTAAATATCTTTATCCTAGGTTTAATAAAAGAGAAGGTGGCAAATGAACAATCCAAAGTGCTAGAGGGAATGCTCACTCTTTTTAAGGCTGTCTCAGAGAAGTTTGTGTTTGGTGTCATTTTAAAGGTAGCTTGATCACACTTTGATATCAGAAACAGCCTTGTAACAAAGAGCCTCGTACAGTTGTTTGGCCACTAGAGTTTAAAATGTAAACAAGTTGCAGTGGGAAAGCAAAGGTGAGGCAGTGTATTTTGAACCAGTGAATCGTAGCTTGCAAACGTACCTGATTTTGAAGTAACTGCATGGTAGCAAGGATTAGCAGTCTCTTACACCCCTTCTTTCTTCCTTCTCATCCCCGACACGTGTTCAACATACCGTACATTGGGAAAAATAAGCAACTTACTCTAGCAAAGCTAAATCCACTTAATGACTGCTTAAAGGGAACATACAAACTTGCATTGGCGCATCCTGTCTCATGGTATTAGCTGGAAGACTAGCTAATACGCACAAAAAGCCCAGTCCAGGTTGCTTCTGCGGATGTGTCGCTTTCAGAGAGTGCGGTGCTTGGGGATGCCGGAGAAGAAGGGTCGCTTCCTGCGGGGTCCCTGGAAGCGATAGTAACTCACACTACTGCTTCTAGTGATGGAGGGTCACGGACAGCATTCCAGGGGCGGGTAGGAAAGCTGGCGTTTGTACTTTCCCTTTAAATAGGAAAGGTTGGCTCATATGTTCCTCATACTTCTCAATGAATGTACTGTATTACCATTTAAAAAAAAAAAATCAATGATAATAGATTGGTCTCCTTTTGTTATCTGGTCCTTGTTTAATTTGTTTAAGGGTTTTTGTATACAAAAGTTTACATTTTTATGTATATTTTTCTTGTGTAAAAACTGATGTAATATGTGTATAAAACACTGTATGTATTATCTGTATATAGTGTGACAAAATGATTTTCTTTCTTTCTTTTGGATGTATTAATAAATCTTGCTGTGAAGTAGCCATGTTTACTATGGTGAAACCCTCCGCTTCAAGCCATTTTGCTAAGTCCAAGATGTATGAATAGTGCCCAGGCTGAAATCTAATCCATGAAGTGATTTTTTTTTTTTTTTTTTAACATATCCCAAGTACAGTTATTAACTGTCCTTTGCTTAGATAGCTGTAGAGTCTGATTCTGCTTTTGCTTATTCTCTATTGCTTTCTAATAACATTAGCTAATTAGTTTTGCGAACAAACTAGGGTCTTCAGTCTCAGTCCCAATTCTAATTATAGTGCTTTCTGGCTGTGGATCACTGGGCTGGAGACCAGATCATCTTGTTTTCTGTTTGGAGTTGCAGAACTGTACTTCAAATGCAACGTAAGGGGTATAGAACAGAATTTTGTCTTATATGTTGTTACGTTTTCTGAGATTTAAAAAATACATACCTGCTTCATCACAAAAACTGGTAAGTTGGAGTTTGGTGTTATTTTGAGGGTTAGGGTGTAGATGAGAAATGATGGTTGCTGAGGTGCCGTGGGGCTCCGGTCAGCTCTTGGGCAGGATTGCGGGGCCAGGGCACGCATGTGATGACTAGCTGGATGGTCAGATGCTGGGAATCGCCATGGCCTTGTTCGGACACAGATGGCTGTGCACTGGGGAAAAGCTGCCGTTCCTGCCACCTTGCTGCGGCTGGTGCGAGCTAGATGGCCTTGGCTGGCACTAAGCTTCCAGCGCTGGGTTTGCTCTCTGCTTGAAGGATGTCCTCTCTTCAGACAGAACTATGCCTTGGACACTTTGCAGTAAGTAGATGGGTGCTGCATCTTCCTCTCGCCATTTGTTTTGTGAAGTCTTCCCCTTTGCTTTCTGACATGAGGGTATGTGCTTCAGCTGGTGTTTGCCTTGCTGCTGTCCATCTCCAATGTGTCTGAAGTTGTGAGTGGCAATCGAAAAGCGGTCGTGTCCTGGGCAAGACCATCTTCCAGATTCTGTTTTTCATAAGCAGTCTCACTTAGTGCTGCTCTGATCATCAGAATAATTGTCAGCAGAAATTGATGAGAAGGGGATTCAGTAATTTGACTTTTCTTTTTAATGAACAGTGGCCCAGCCATTCTAGACAGCATAATTAGAGCAGCGTTTCGCAGTGCCTGGTTGTAATTCAGGCCGAGGGGAAAGCGGTGTCAGTGAATGATGTAGTCTTCCACGCTAACACATGCTGCAAAGGTTTCCTGGCAAAGGACGAAACTGGTTTGTGCTTTAATACCTTGCCTTCCTGGGAGATGGGAGTACACTGAAAGCACCACATTCAGACATTTGTCAAGGCAAATGGCAGAAAAGATGAGACACTTAAACAAGAGGAGAGTGCAGCAGCGTAAGCTCGATGCAATATGGCTGTAGAAAATCTACCCTGAGCTTGTCCATTCTAGGGAATTTTCAAGGTTATGGGCCTGAGGCATTTGGACAATGTAGGAGTAACAGTGACGAGGTGGTTGTGGGCTGTTACTGATGTAGTTCTGGCTGTGCATGCGGATGTTGCAAAGCTGATCCTTCAAGGTGTTCCTATCACAAGTTACACTTGAAGTCAAAATGGTGAGAGGTGGAAGAATTGATTTTTATGGAGAAAATAGTTGTTAAAAGTCTGCTTTTAACAAAACAGCAAAAGTAAGTCGCTACTTGGTGTAACGTTTGAGGCCGCAGTGAGGAGTAAGAAGGTGGGAGTTAGGAAAACGGGGGCTCTTCCCTGGGGATGACTCCCTGGCTGAAGCAGGATTGCCTGGTCTGGTCCCGAGCTGGGCGTTCTCCAGCGTGGGCTTGACAAGAGATGGGCTGAGACTCCTCTGCTGACTAAGGCAGAGACCAACTGAATCACCTGGGGTTTTATTTCCCAGCACTTCCATGAACAACAAAGAAATTCTACTCTTAGAAAATGGTTGCATGGTTTCAGTCTGAAACTTTACAAAAAACAACCAGTCCTAGTGCCACATTTCAAAACACAAATAGTTTGAAGTATGAATTCACAAAAAAGGGGGTACATCTTTCTCTGTAACAGTCATCTCAAGCTCCAACAGTAGCCTTTTAATAGTTGGCAATTATTTTCTCAGGAAAGCTCATTTAGTTTGTACTTGAAAAGCAGGTGACATTTTGTTACACGAGCAAGTGTTGCTCTCGTACTCGGTGAAGCAATTAGAAGGAGAAACCTTTATTAAATTTGGGAGCTGGGTTCCTGCAGAGGTGAAGACAACCTGTCTTTCTCCCTGCGTAGTCACAGGCAGTTGTCCCATCTGCACAAAACACTGGGGGCCACCTGCCACCCTCCTCGCTGAAGCCTACACCCCAAGCACGGGGCTGGTACTCTGCAGCTGTCAGACCTGAATTGGAGGTACAGAGTGCTTGTTTGAAGGGGCTAAGAGGTGACTGTCACGTTTGCTGGCGTGAGGTTCAACTCAGGAATGGCTGCCTTGTTTTACTGCTGTTGCTAATTTATGGCTTGTGGAAGGTGCTAGTGAAGAGTCTTGGTACCATTGAATCTAGTAAGAAAATTGAAGTGTTGTGCTAAAAATGTCCCTGAAAGCAAAGCAGCTTTGATGTTCAGATGCATTGTTGTACTTCTGTAGCAGAACTGCAGTACAAACTTTCTATGCCCGCATCACATAACTCCCTTGACAGATGTCCTTAGGACCAAGAGACTTGTTGTGTCCTGTTCAGCCCTCACATCTCACTTGCAATGGCTGACGTAGCCACCAGTGTGGAAGAGTCCTTTACCGTGAACTCACTCTGGCTCTGATGCCTGTTTCTGCTCAGCTTGTGCACCAGCTTCCAGTTCTTGCCTGTTTAAATTTAAAAATTAAAGCCTTTGCTTTTGTGCTGTGCAACACTTGGTGGAAGAAGCCCCGTGTAACCAGCTAGCAGCTGTCCCAGAGGGCTCTTGCAGATCTGATCTGCAGGGCCCTCTGCTGTGATGCCTATCAGGGAGCTGATGCTGGTTAGCTGCTGACACAGATGTAAATGCTGTTACACTGACCAATATTTTCTTACAGCTCCCTTGCGTTCTGCAAGCCCACGTTTCCTAGGAGGGTGTCAGACTTCAGCCACTTCCAGCTTCCCCATTGCAGCCGTGTTGGATTCACCGGTGCTGTGAGCCTGTGCTGTGACCCCAGGGAGGGCAGTAAGGCTTATGAGGAGCACAGCTGGCATCTGATGTGGCACCCTCCCCTGTCTGTGTAGTCCTTTGTCAGAGCATCTGTGTGGTACCTGGTACAGTATGGTATGGCTCGTGCTAGAAAGAACATCATGGGTGCAAACAAGTCTCGGTTTCTCTTCGGTTTTAAGTGTGTTAGAGCATTTCTCTTCAAGCTGTGGCTGTCTTGCACCAAGGCTTTGCACATGCTGAGAGTGACAGCGCTCCTGAAGAAATGCATTGGGCCCAAACTCCAGTTGAAGGGGTAGCAGCAACCCTGACGCAACCAGCTGGTACCAAAGCATCAGCAAGAGAATAGCTGATTTATGTCAGGTTTGGGCCAGTACTCTGCCAAAGTTTGATTTCGAGCTGTGAGCCTCAGTTACAATACTGCCACATCATCGGAGTTGGTCCACATTTGTGCCAGTGGAAGCTGTGCAGAACTACACCCTGGAAGTACTCACAGATATTTCCCAAAGTGACTGTCGTCACCATTTCTACATGAGGCATGTGGTACCTGGTTACAGCTTCCCTGTGTCTCTCCATGGTGGTGCTGATCCCTTCCAGTGCTGGGAGAGCAGGGGCCTTGAAGTTCTTACAACCAGTTTTGAGCAGGTCTTCAACATAGTGCCTTTGTTGGATTTTATTTTCCATTTGCTAATGAAAAATGTTCTTTGCCATCACTCCATTAGGATGAACCCATGTGGGATGGGGAGAGAGGTTTAAGACGTAATTCGTTAAGTGCC